ATTTTTTAGATCCATTAAAGCTCTCTCCTTTTCTCAATCAATCCCACAAACATTTCATATGCATGAAAAACACAACCTGGGTTTTCCTTCTTTTCATCTATTTCTCACATTTCAGACCCATATTCCTATGACATACGTTTTATAGTAACTTCTTCCCACTTCTTTACGAGACAAGTACTTTCCCAGAAAACTTTTTCTCGGGAAAATACTTTCCAGGAAAAACAGGTTTTGGGTTTGCTTGCTGGTAGCTGGCCCAGTGAGATTGAGTGTGGTTGTTGCGTTGCATTCTTTTTGGGTTTTGGGCGATTTGGTCAATACGTGGCAAACAAGTAAGCATGGATATTGGTACGGCCTTTCTGGTTTTGACGGCCATCACAGCTTATTTACTTTGGTTCACCTTCATCTCACGGTCCCTGGCCCACGTGTCTGGCCCTTATTGGGCAGCCTCCTGGGCCTCATAGAAAATTCCGACCGCTTGCACGACTGGATCTGTGACAACCTATGCGCCTGCGGCGGCACGTATCAAACATGCATCTGCGCCATCCCCTTCCTCGCCAGAAAGCAGGGCCTCGTGACCGTCACGTGCGACCCGAAGAATCTGGAGCACATACTGAAAACCCGGTTCGACAATTACCCTAAGGGCCCCACTTGGCAATCCGTGTTTCATGATCTTTTGGGCGAAGGCATCTTCAACTCAGATGGCGACACGTGGCTATTTCAGAGGAAGACGGCCGCACTGGAATTCACAACCCGGACGCTCCGCCAAGCCATGGCTCGGTGGGTCAGCCGATCCATCAAGCTGAGGTTTTCCCCCTTCAACTCAGATGGCGACACGTGGCTGTTTCAGAGGAAGACGGCCGCACTGGAATTCACAACCCGGACGCTCCGCCAAGCCATGGCTCGGTGGGTCAGCCGATCCATCAAGCTGAGGTTCTGCCCGATTCTTAAATCGGCTGAGCTTGAATCCGAGCCTGTTGATCTTCAAGACTTGTTGCTTCGGCTCACTTTCGACAACATATGCGGCTTGACTTTCGGGAAGGACCCACAGACTTGCGCGCCGGGGTTCCCAGACAACGGCTTCGCCTCGGCTTTCGACCGAGCCACCGAAGCCTCGCTACAGCGTTTTATTTTGCCCGAAGTGCTGTGGAAGCTGAAGAAGTGGCTTGGGCTTGGAATGGAAGTCACGCTGAGCCGAAGCCTTGTGCACATTGAGGAGTATTTATCCGATGAACCTTCAGCCCCTCGCATTCCAGCTCATAAGCCATCGAACCCATCTCCAGGATGTCCTGATTTACCGATTTGCCCTCGTGCATCTTGTGGTCGACGTACTGCCGGAGCTTGACCATCCGCTTGGCCATGGAGGGTCGGGTGAAGAAGGCCGAGAGCGGGTCCTTGAGGGACTTGGTGGTCTCGTGGCGGTTGTAGGACATCTGGACGTGCTTGTGCAGCGCTCCGAGGATGATGTGGCGCGCCGTGAAGTCGTCGCGCAGCCATTTCTGGTGGAGAACGACGTCGTCTGGTGGGGTGTCGGGGGTTGGGGATTTTGGGTCGGGAAGACGTAAGCGACATTGTTGTCAGCGAGGACGAAGTCGAGCTTGCTTCTCCAGGTTTGGAAGTTGGTGGTGCAGTCGAGTTGGTGGGTGGTTTTGAGTTCTGGGTATACGAGTGCGGAGAATGACGATGAGTCGCTGTTCATTGTTGAAGCAGAAACTTACTGTTGTTGTTTTCTATGGGATTTTGAAGTATAGCCGACCGGCTATACTAAAAAATCTAAAAAATATAATATTTTAAAGGTCTAGCCGAACGGCTATGCTCCAAAAATATAATATCTAAAGCGTATAGCCGCGCGGCTATACCCTACAAATAGAATATGTTAACAGTATAGACGCGCGGCTATACCAAAAAATAGAAGGGAGTTTCACTAAAACACCCAAAATAGGGGCTGAAATTATAAAAAAACCCAACACCCAAAACACTTTATAAACACACCCAAAATCCATCATTACACACACTCAAAACCCATTTATAAACACACCCTAAAAATATACAATTGTTGATTTTGGGTGTGTTTCTATGTTTAAATAGTATTTGGGTTTTTTTATAAATACATGTCTAGAATTGGGTTTATTTATAAATTTATAAAAATGGAATGTTTTAAGCGTATAGCCGTGCGGCTAAACCCTTTAAGTAGCATAATATGGATTTCTCTTTTTTAATTACTTTAATTAGTAGTTATGTTTTAGTTATTATTTACTTAGTGAATAATTAGTATTTAAATATTTTATTCGAGAAAAAAAATAATATTTTAATTACTATTTATTGAGTAATATAATTTATGAAGTTAATTAAAATATTTAATACTAATTATTCACTAAAGAAATAATAATTGAAATATAATTACTAATTTAACTAATTAAATAAGGCAAAGATATTATTCAATTACTAAAAACAAAATTAATTAACCTAAACATACTAAGTTTTTATTATTATTATTTTTTAAATTCTGTCTCGACGAAAGTTCACCGGCACATGTCTATCGTGGCGAGTAGTACAGTTGCGTGGCAATATTGGGTCCTTTTTTATTAAAATTAATAGTATGGCCGCCTGGCTATACTGGGGGCCCTTTTTTAATTTAATTAACAGTATAGCCGCTCGGCTATACGGGGATTCTTTTTTTAAAAAAATAAAATGTATTGCCGCGCGGCTATACTCCGATGTTTTTTAAATGTTTTTAATTAATTGTATAGCCGTGCGGCAATACTTATGAAATATGCTATAAATTGAATTTTTTTTTAAGTACAGCCGCCCGGCTATACCCTATCAGTCTATAGGATTTCTAGGTTTACCCGCAATGCAAGTTTCTTACTTGCTATCGAAGTTGTTAGCCATTTAATTCTTGTTGGTTTCCTTCCTATAATTTAGCCGTGTGTTATAACTTACTTATATATGTTGCTTGGTCTCGAGCGCCAAGAGCCGTCGTATTATATCACAACTGCGGATCCGTGGCACCATATTTTTGACACAAGTTTTGACACAAGTTTTAGGCCTTTAGATCTATAAACTTTTAATGGTTGTGATGTATTTTCATTTCTCAAAACAATAAATTTTCTTCAATTAATATTTATACATTGGGATTAAAATTCTGATACTATATTAATTAAGAATTCATTCTCTCTCTCATCTCATTAATTATTTTTATTTAGTTCTTTCCCTTTCCCACTAGACTCTTTTGTTCCATCGCAGCCTCTGCATTTTTTGCTCTCTCTTTCTTCTACATTCATCATCCACCTGCGATCTTCTCTTCTCTACTAATTAATTTGTGGCTTGAAGCAAATGAGAGGGGGAAAAAAAGTAGCTATATCTTCTATATGGTCTGTTGGAACAAAGAAATCTTCCATATTTTCTCTACTAATTTGGATTTTCTTCGAGTTTCTCATATGCTATGCTATGTTTTAGCTTTAACTTATATTCAACATCTAAATAACCAATATTTATTGAAAAAATTTATTATGTGATAAAAATAAAATATTACGAAGAAGAAACTAGATTGTACGATACTATAGATTAAAATATAACATTATTATTATTATTTTTTAAAGTAAAAATTATTGGTGGGAAATTGTAAGACGTAGAGGGGAGATGAATGAATGGAGAAGAAGAGAGAGACAAAGAGATGTAGAGCGACGAAGGGAAAGAGCCAAATAGGAAATAAAGAGAATGAAAACTAAGGCGCGTTATTTCCCTAACTCTGAAGTAATTTTGATTGAACAGAAACAAAGACCCAGTTTCTCTCCAACGCCCACAAATTGGCTAGATTTATGTGATTTACTATGCAACTTGTTGTGTAGATTATTAAAACAATGATTTATCAATATAAATCTTAACTCTAAGGATTAATTGCTAGTTTGTGATTTGGATGGAATGGTTTGCTGAAATTGGATGGCTAGTTTGTGATTTCAGGGTTACTGAAAAAGCAAGAAGAAGAAACCAAGGTGGTTGGTGTGAGTGGTTCGGCACTCTCATTCCTTAAGAGAGGTCAGGGGTTCGATCCCTGCTCTCGTACGGAGTCACCACTTTAGCCAACACTTTACCCCTTACGAGCCGACCCGATGTGAGTGGGGATTAGTCTGGGTTGTGGTTAAGGCTTAAAGGTGCCACCCATAGTTGGGGCCCATCCAGGACCATCTCATGATTTAGACCCCAAAAAAAAAAAAAAGCAAGAAGAAGAAGAAGGGAGGTGGTGTAAATGAGAAGGCACGAAGAAGAAGTGCCTTGTGTCCTTATTTAAAGAATAAAATAATTAATTTGTTTAATCACATCCTTTGATAGTGGGCTAATCCAAGGGTTTAAAGCTTGTGTCAAAATTTGTGTCAAAAATATATATATATATATTTGTACTCATAACTTTCAATGAAATTCAACATCCCAACAATTCTATCAAACATAAATAATTATGTGAAATTCAACATCCTATTTTTTTTTGAAATAAACCGATTCATTGCAAAGAAGATTAGCTGAGGCAACAGTCTTGGGTGAGGAGTTCCTGAACAAGCTCAGGGGCCTCACCAAACCAAAAACAATCTTGGTGCAAATGAAAAGCAAACAAGGCAAGCCTGTTAGCGACACGGTTACAAAGCCTAGGCACATTGGCCACGGAAGATGACTGGAAGTGAGAGAGGAGCACACAACAGTCATCAATCAAAACCCCCCCACTAGAAGCAACAGAGGTATCTTGCGAGACAGCTATAGCAAGCTTGGCGGAGCCGCACTCGAAACAAACCCGTTGGAGATTCAACTCCACAGCCAACCGGATGCCCGCCAGCAAAGACACAGCGTGAAGATGATCAAGAGACCCAATATTCCTAAGTTTTTTAGAACAAGCCGCCAGAACGCTCCCTGACTCGTTGCGGATCACCACCCCAATACCCCCACAACGATCGGCAGCAAGCCACACTCCACCGACGTTGACTTTGGCAAAACCGTCCCTAGGCGCAATCCTATCAATGAAGGAGAGAAAACAATATGTACCTCACTTCAATTTCCTTCAACTTCCCGCGCCGGGTTTCTTGGTCCTTGATGAGATTACTGTTGATCTAAGAAACAAACACAAAAAATAGGCACAATAAAATAAAATGAAATTTCAGAAAGAAAAAAAAATTTTGATTTCACATAAACACAGTACTCCAATGCCAAACCCCAAAATAAAGACGAGCACATTACAAACTCACATCTTCAACAGCATTTCTTTCCTCAAGACATTTCTCTAGTTTCGCTTGAATATCCAGCATCTTGGAATTTACAGCCTTCTCCACTGCTTCTAAAGTTGAACTTTCCTTTTTACTTTTGGCCTCCATAAGTAGAGCTTCATAATACTGAATTTCAAGAAAAAGAAAAGGATATTACTTGATCAACAGCCATTAGGTAGAGGGAAAAATAAGAACACAAAGAAGAAGTGTGTTTGGTGACAACCTACTTGTCTTTGAGTCTCAAGCTGACTTGCAAGAAGTCGGTTATACTCGTCTACAATCTGTTGTAGCACAATATCTAAAGATCAGTTATGTGAATAAGAAAACATCAAATAATGGATAGTGCAAGGTAGAGTAAAAGTAAAAAAATTTCTTAAAATAAATACATACAGTTTCAACTTTGCTGCTATAGAGGGCTCCACTAATTCCAGAATCGTCACTGCATTCACACCTGTCACAATCCCTTTCCACTGACAAACATTGAGAATCCGTATCAGTTATTAGCTTGCCATCAATTTTCGATTGGTTCAGGCGGTGAACATAAGCATCACCAACGTAATCCCAGATCTGCTGCCTGTTCAACTCAAGAGAATAGCAATGTTGTGTATCCTTCCAGTGCCTAACAGCATGGCCTTCTGTATATCTTTTTGAAGAACAAATAATATCAATAATTTTCCGTGCTGGACAAATTTAATTAAGACAACGCCATAGCTCATCAAGTAAATGATGCGTAGGCTATATTGTTTTCTTGCTTTGGGGACAGAAATAACCAAAGATATAAGAAGAAAAAAGAGTGCATCATGTTTACCTTCCACATCCTACAAAACCACATATTACACAAACCCAGGGATTCACAGATATTCCACATACAGAGCAAGCTGGCTTTTCATCCTGCTGCTGACAAAATCGGCAAACCTAGTGGCACACAAATATTAAATCAGCAACTTTCTTCTATATAGCTGGACTCTCAAACTTTGCTTGAGTCCTAAAACATATCAGAGTTACAAAGGGCTCAATGCCAACTCAAGGGAAACTCAAGCTGAAATTGATAAACCCAATTAAGACCACAATCGTTACATAGAAATATTTCATTATAATCCACAAAAGAAATTTATTTATTTTTTCTAACTACTGAACCCATCAGTGGTCGGTCCAGTTTAATGGATTTTGAGTCCCTCAGTACCTGCAAGTAGCAATTGATATCAGTAGTGCAGTCAACAATGCTCTCAACCAAGATCTCTAATAAACTTAAACACATAAGACAAAATTTTGGAACAGAAAACCAACTCACCTGACAAGATAAATAAGTCCATTTTGAAATGCATGGACATTGAAATGAATGGTCACAAAGTGTACTTGCTATTCCACTAGTGTCTGCATCCAATCTCTCTGACATTGAAACAAAAGTTAAACCAAAATCATATAAATACTGGGCACAAGAATATCAAATCTCTGAAAAAATATAAACAGAAGAACCCCCATCCCACCAAACAAAATTGTGACTCACCAAGGCAAACTGGGCAAGTAGGTAATTCAGTACATCCTTGTGGTGGAGTCCCAGCTATTTCATCTGAATCTGTGTAGTCCACAGAAAGCAGAAACAGAATGTGGCACACCTCAGCCTGAAAAAAAACACAAACAAACAAAGAAAATCGCACACATAAGATGTACAATATACATCATACATGAATATAAACGACAATAAGAAAAACTCATTACCTCTCCAGGCGAATACTTCTTCCCATTTAAAGTGTGATAAAATCCGTCGGCGGTCATCTGATTCTTCAGCTCAACTAAAACACTGTACCGATCTTCCATCCCATCGTTCCTAATCCAATTAAGCAAATACTAAATTGGACTTTGTTTGATCACTAAGGAAACAAAAACATAGATAAAATGAAACTTGAATTTCAAACAAAGATATTCACTGAACTGATACATAGACCCTTTTTTTTCCCTTTACTTCACAGCATTGCTTTTTTAGATTGTCAGCTCAAGTTTATCTTTTAAATGTGATTTATTATATTTATGAAAATTATCAATGTAAGCCTGGCACAACTCAGTGGCTCAATTGAAGTAAAATCCTACCCGCGTTTTTTTTTATTTTAAAGAAGAAAAAAAAAACAAATTTTGCTATTTCCTCAATTTCGTCAGAAACCCATTTCAGGGTTTTGATCAAGCAACCAACCAACCGAAGATTTCCTCAATTCAAAAGTTCTTAATTTCTCGGTAAACAAAGAAAATCTAGAAGCGGTACCTGATGAAGACGAGTTCGAGGACATGGTCGATTCGGGACCCACAGAAGCGGATGAAGTCGTCGAAGGAGAGATAGTTGGGAACAGCAATGACGAAGAGGAGAGTGGATCGAGAGGCAGGACTGTTTGGCAGCGACGAGTGCCCTATGCTTCGGAACAGGTGAGCTATGCCTCTTCGCTCGCTGAATTTGGGGCTGGTGTTAGGGTTTGATTCAGTAGCACTGGTGATCTTGGAAGTTGTGATAGTGGTGAACTCGGCGTCTTCGAGGCTGAGGGGGTGATTGGTGTCCACTGAGTGGACTCGGAGGAAGAACATTGTGTTTTTCTGAGTCGACTTGGTTGGGGTAAAGAGAAAAGAGAAAAACAAAATAGAATTGACAAATTTGAGAGGCAAAGCTATTTATGCTCCAAAGCTTACTAGTATGGCTGATTTTCAGAAGGATCATATCGGATCGGAATTAGGGGATTCAATTCCATTCCGCAAAAGTTCGGAATGAAAATTATTTTCTAAAAATTTTCGGAATTTCAACATTCATTATAATTCGGAAAACTCAGAATTTTCGAAATTATTGGAAAATTTCTTAACTTACATATTTTGGAATCTTTTTGGCAAGTTTCAGAAAATCATTGAAAATTTTAAACATGTCTAACAATTCAAAAGATTAAATTTAGCTCAAAATTGAAAAATTATACAGAAAAGCTCGAAAACCTGTTATATGAATTTACCATATTATCCTCATTTAATTAATAATTTCAATTCTTAGTACCCGTTTGGCATTGCTTATTTGGAGTGATAAGTGATTTTTTAAAAATTTTGAGAACACCAGCCTGTTTGGTAACCTATAATAAAATCACTTATTATTAAAAATTACTGTGGGAGAAAGTAATAAAGGAAAGCAGCTAATGAGCTGCTTTCAATTTCTGATTATACGATAATCAGATTTGAGGAAGCGCTGGGTTTAATGAAAATTATAACATTCCAAAAATACCCCAATATGATTTCACGCTTTCATCTTCTTCGTGCGTCTTCTCTATCCCAAGCCACAGAGCACCTTCTCCTTCTCTTGCATTCTTCCTCCATTTTTTTTCTTGTTGGATCAATTGAAGCGCATTCCTAAGAAGCCACAAGACTCAAGTAAGGGGCATATTGTGTTTATTTCTTCTCAATTTCATTCTTCCCTCTTTTTCTTTAATTTTTAGGGTTTTAACTATCTTGGTTCTTCTTCACGCCATCTCTTCACAGAGATCACTCATCTCCTTCTCTTCCATACTACCTACGATTTTTTCTGGTTGGATCAATTGAATCGCACTGTTAAGCTACAAGACTCAGGTATATTTCTTTTCAATTTCCTTGTTCCCTCTTTCTCTTTGATTTCTAGGGTTTTAACTTTCAATTGTAGCTGCTGTTGGTTTTCTATATTACGTATTGGCATGAGAATGGCATTTTTCTATTTGGGTTTTAGGGCAAGTTCCTATAAATTGATTGAATTGGTATAGAAAAGGGAAATAGTCAAATAGACTTCGAGGAGGTCATAATTAACTTCTTGGAATTTTCTACTTGGAAACAGGCAAAATAGATTTCGAGGCAAATAGGGTCAACCTCCAAAGCATTATTCCTTGTTCCCGAAGATCACAGTGAACTAGATCAAAAGCAAGCCAACTTTTATGATTACTCAAATTGAACGAATAGCTAGTACACAAGTCTCACAATAGAAGTTTGGCGTAGCACCATGAAGGAAACACATATCTTAAACAACCCAAAGACGGATGTCCTCAACGGCAATGCTATAACCTGTTTGTGTGTGTGTGTGTATCTGATATTATTGCTCTAGGCTTGATAGTGTAAAGTCAGGTCATATAACCCCTCTCCTTTTGCCTCTTGTCTTGAGATCACAGTGAACTAGATCAAAAACATATATGTTTTTAATTGAATTTGAGTCATTGTTTTATTTCATATGATCCGTAAATTCATATACAATTATTTGCACATATCATTCATTGAAAGTACGTTTAAGGTGTCCTTCATTGGTGAAGTGTATTATTTTCATTTTGTGAATTTTGTTTCACAGAAAACAATCTACTGGAACAAATCGGTCATATTTAAACACTTTTAGGTTTAACAGGATGGCTAAGGAAATTGATCCTATATGAAAATCGCTTCAATTATGTATTTGCATTAGAGTAGGATAACTCCTTTAGTTTTTTGTTTTCCACCTTTCCCAGCACTGTGTGGAAGCTTAACTATAGAGTTCCTTGTGGCCTCATCTTAGAGACAATCCTATTCAGTTGCCTCCTTATTTTTCTGGTTTTTGGTGCCCGGCTACCAACAAGGTATGGGTATTCTGTGAGCAATTTGAAGTGCCGTAGTTAGAAATTTAATTGTTGTTTTAGTGGGAGGATATTACATTAGTTAACATGGAAGAAGGGTTTTATCCTTCTATAAATGGTCATGTCAACCAGTCTCTTGGGATTACTTCATTATATGAATTTACCGATCATGTGTAGGATTCCAATTTCATGAAGGTGAAGAGAGCAAAATATGAATTTCTATATAATTTGGGAAATAGCGTATAAACAAAAGAGATCCTGTAGGTGTTTATTTTGTTCTCTGTGACTATATGATTACTCTTTGAGATTATTGCTCTAGCATATCTTAAAAGGGCAGATTGTTTCTGCAGTTCTATTTTACTCTTCTTAGTTGTACATTTATGTTTCATTGTTGTCTTGCCTTTTGGTTTTTCTTTTCCCTATCTCTATGCCGCTTATCCATAGTTTGGTTTGTTTGTAATTCGCTTGTATACCTATTATTTTCTTTTGTGCTTATATGTAATGTCTTTGTTGCAATAAGATGACAAAGAAGAATAGTAACTTCACCACAACTGAAAATGTTGCAAGTGGATCCCGAAAATTATCAGCATTATGGAATGCTCAAACTATAGCCATCTTCATTGACCTTTGTATCAAGGAGGTGGATCTAGGCAATCGTCCCGGTACTCACTTTAATAAAGTTGGATGGGCAAGATTGGTTACAAATATTAGTAAAGAGATAGGAAGACCATATGAAAAATTACAATTGAAAAACAAGTGGGATTTACTGAAAAAAGAATGGAAATTATGGAAAGATCTAAAAGGGAAGGAAACTGGTCTTGGGTGGAATGTCGCTAAGAATACTGTTGATGCTTTCTCTCACAGCTGATTTCTCTCACAGCAAATTTGAAAGCGATTATTTTCACAGCACAGCAATGCCAAACTGGCCCTTAATGTTTGCATTAATCAAGGACATTTTCTGGTATTTTGAATGTTTCACCATTCTCTTCCTTTTGCTTTATATATATAGATTATCCTTTATAAAATAGCTATCTATGTTTATTTGGTCATTAAGTCATATCAAATTTAACATAAAACTAGTCATTATGTGTAGTCTAAGCTTAAAACCTCAATATATTTCGGAATTTGGAATTTTCAAAATCTTGAAATACATTCAAATTCCAATCCAATTTTTTTTCTTTAGAATTCTCAGATTTCAGAACTTTCAGATGTCAGAATTGATTTGGACTCGCCAAAATCGAAAATTTTCGGGTCGAAATCGGAATTTCCAATCCAACTTGCATCCCTACTTACTAGTGTCGAGAGTCACTCACTCTCTTAGATGTACTTGGACCATCTCTAAACATGTTAGGGCTACACACATACCACCCATATGATATTGGTGCGCAATGCAATTGACATTCGTTCTTTAATTTTTTTTTTACCTAGCCGCTCTCTCTTCCTAGGAAAGAAAACCCAAGGCTTGTAGACTAGCCGCCACCCCCCTTTGGGGGTGGGTGACCTCCTTTTGCTCTCCCCCCTCCCTCCCCCTCTCCCCTGCCTCTATCTTGCCCCTCTCCTCTCCTCTCGCCCCTCTCTCCTTTCCTTCCTTTGTTTCCCGTCCTCTCTTTCCCTCCCTCCTTGAGTTTTCTTCCTCACCCTTTTCTTTTGCTGTGACTTTGGGATTTTCTGTTATTTTGCAGGGAGTGTGTGGGTGGGTTTGTTGTTCTGCTCCTATTCTGGATCTACTTTGTCCGAGGATTGCCTCTGTGTTTCGGTGGCTTGGGTGGTTTCCCCTGTGGCCGCCTCAGTTGGTTTATTGTTTCCATTGTTGTGTCGCGCGACCATTTTTTTGCTCTGTTTGTTTCTTTTGCATATGTGAGATTTGATTCATGCTGGAAAACTATTTCAGATCTGTGATTTGGTGGCAAACAAGGTGACCAAGCGTGCTGTGCGATTCTCTTCAGCCTTTTGTGCTGCTTTTGTTTTCAACCCGTTTGTGGTGTTGATCTTCTCTTGTAGTTTTTACTTGTAAGAGCCTATAGTGCTTGATATGCATTTTCTCTTCCTACCAATGGCGGCTATTTCTTGGCACCTTCCCTTCACCACCATCTTCAGCGCCTCGACCACACGAGGGTCTCCTCTCCTTGGTGACTCTTATGCAGTTGAGGTTGCTTTTAAAGTGCTTATGTCACTTATTGCTTGGATTATGGTAGCGCTCTTTGTAGCTTTGGTGGCTTGTCCACCACCATTTTCTGTCTCGAGCATTGGTTACTGGTTCCTCTCTGGTGGGTGTGGGCTTTGTTGATTATGCTGCTGTTTGGTTATGGGTGGTGTGGCATTTCCCTATTCTGTATTCACTACCTTTTGTGTGCACTTTGCTTTTCTGGGCTTTATGTCCTCTTCAAGTTTTATGATGTAGTAGGTTTTATGCCTTCTTGTGTTGCAGTTGGTCGAATTCCTTTGTGGAGCTCACTTTGTTGTAACCGGCTTTTGCCTTCTATCTTATAAAATTTGATTCTGACCCAAAAAAAAAAAAACCATGTTAGGGCTTAATTCAAAATTTCACCCTCCAAAATACAACTATTTATTTATGGACCGGACTCAAATTGTTTTTTCCTTCAACCATGCAGACTCATTATTTGAGTCCGCAACTGCATTAAATTATTTAAAAACGGTTAATCCCTTCTTCTTATTTATCATTTATTTTTCTTGACATTATTTTTCTTTCGTGATTTCATTTTTTGAATATTTTAACCTAAAACATCATATAATTTTACTTAAAAATAAAAACAAGTACAATGACATTTTATTTCAAAAACTTTGAAAGTAATAACAAGTACCAAATGACCTATATTAAAAAAAAATCTAATAATTGTTAGATCTCATAGTCGTCGGTTGGAATTCAAAAAAATAAAAGAACAAGTTGTTCAGACTTAACCGTTAGAGTTCAACGCACAAAAGCCAGAAGGCACACACTCGTCCTTGAATTGGTGGGCCTCAACTACGACATCAATTGGGCAATGGTCTGCACAATCATGTGGGCTGGAAAGTGACTTGCGCTTGTACTCCACCAATTTTCTGTATGGGCAAATATCCGTACTACTATTTGGCCTGGGTTTTTGCATAGATTGATGTTTGGACCGGCTGCATACAATGGTTGGAGAAGGAACCCAAGCCAAAATGTGAAATTTTGATATTAGGCGTCGAAAGTTTGATGATGGCTTGATAATGGTCAAATTTGTGTCGACCCAAACAAGCCATTTCTGATAGGACACTTGTTTATTTTGATTTCCTCTAACATATTCATTGTTTATAACCTTTGCACCTACTTTTGCTTGAAACATATCATATGATGGCAATACAATTAATAATTTATGTA